AGACACTGATGTTGAAATGAAACAGCACATGACCCTAGTGGAATTAAGCCAAATCTTCTCTTTAATCTGCAGTTTACTTTTTCTCCTTGAATTGGCCAGCATTGCCTGAATCGACTGTAGAAGCCTTCTGTACTTGGACAAAGATTTTGTCTGCATCCAAGATACTTCTGATTTAATTAGGAAAAAAACCTGCAACTACTCCTCAATTCTTTTCATGTCTCCAGTATGCCTGTTATAACAGATTAAAGTTAATAATGGTTCAGTCCTGGGCAAAATTCTCCTCAAAGATACAGCTCTTCTGTATCTCTTTTTGTCTTTTGAACAGTGTGAGGGGCTAGTCTCTCTTGCAACATGTTTAAAATTACTGTGCCTTTCACCCTGCCATGCAAAATCTTGACTTTAACAGAAATTATCCCTATGGAAATCTTAATGAAACCCAGAATTTTTAAAATGAAAAATAAAATGTGGAGCCAGAAAGTAACATGTTATGCAGAAAATTATGCAAAAGAATAAAAGTTGCAATAATCTGCAGATACTAGAAAAGACTGGAGACTTAAAACAGGCAGATATAATTTTTTTACCAGCAGCAAGCACTCATAAACTCTCTGAGAAATAAACCATATATGGATACTGGCCTTCTGAATCTGAGAGTAGCATGATAAATAGGGAAAAATTTTAAAATTCCCATGGAAAAAGAAGGGAAAAATATTTGGAGAGTTGTTATCTTGTTTCAGTGTTTACCAGGAGAATCTGGTAAACCAAGGTTTAGCAAAGCATTAAGGCATGAGAAGAAATAACTGATTATTAAGGGGATGGTCAAGTAATCAGTATAGAAAGGAAAGGATTCATCTATTTTGTCTAAGGAGGTGCTTGTGTTAGAAATTAAAAAAACCAAAAAACTAAACCAGATACTTATTTTACACAGGGGACCTGAGCAAATAAATGGAAGAACCTGACTGACCAGGAATGTAATAGCATTGATAGCAAAACCATGATGGGATAACAAGTATTGAAGGTACACACTTGCCAGGAAAGAACAAAACAGAGATAGATGTGGTATGTAGCAGACGTGAGAGACTTTGACAAAAATGTTGTTGATTCTTTCTTCATCAGCTGTTTGGATGAATTAATCTTGAGGATGGAATGGAAAACAAAGTTTAGTCACAACAGTACTGGGAAATAATATTGAAATGGACATTGAACAATATGACTCTTAAATATTAGGACAAAAATACTTATATGGTAATAAAAAAAATACTTTATTTTTCTATATGTAGTTATATGTCTACCTCTTCTCTAGGTCTTTTAATTCCTACTATAGGCAGTTACAGGTCTTATTAATACAGTCAACTGAGTGAAGGAATTTGTATCTAGATTTATTTGGTTGGCATCTTCAGTGGAATAATTGCGTAAGCAAAGAGTCTTGAAGATGTTTCAGTGTGAAGTAGCCTTTACTGCTCCAGGGGGATGCGTAACCCATGTGTCATATCTGCCACACGTGAATGCCTTGGACTCTCCAGAAGAGCTCAGATGGAACTGAACTGAGCTCTTTAGCTGCTTAGCTGAATGAATCACTGCACATCATTGATTGTCTTCACTCTGACTCTTCATAGATGTTCAGTTCACATTTGCACACTCAAATGCAGATACCTTCACCTCAGACTGAATCTATCCAGTCAAATATACATATAAATATAATATTTAGATGGATGAATTTTAATATAATATTATTAGACTGCTAACAGAAATTGTATTGTATGTTAGACTTGTAAATAAAGACTAAAAACTAAGTGCTAATACTGATGAGGCACAAAACTCAATGGGTAATTAACACATTTTATCAGAAAATAATAGATAAAATGGACACAATACTATTTTAGATTTTTATGATCTACAAGAACATTGCAGAAAATCCAGTCAAAAAACCTGTCAGATCAAATGATCATGAATTCATGCACTTTAAACTAAACATGTATATATTGCCTAAGTATTAAGTAAAGGCAGAAACAATAAAATGCAGGAAAGGAAAAAAATAGCTAATGTCAGCAAGTGCTTGGAAGGAGAAATGACAACAAAAAAATTCTAAGGAAAACTCAAAGAGCTGGATATGCATAAAATGAGGGAGATGGGTAATCCGTATTTCAGGATTCTGAAAGAACTGGCCTGTCACATCACTGATATGATAGCAAGTGGTTCTAATAAATGTGCACATTGTGTGCACTGGAGAAAAGCATTTTTTTATTTAAAAAAGAGAGTTTTAAAGAGAGGAATAATTGTTGCAAAATTAAATTGAAATATGGATTTATTAAAAGGGGCTCATGGTGGGCAAACCTGTTGACATTCTGTGATAAAACAATACATTTGTTGTCACAATAAATACAGTAATCTTGTTCACTGTGACCTCTGATAAAGATATTATGTCACTTGGGAAGTGACTGATTAATTTGGATAAAATGAAAATGAATAGATTTGTTAGAGGAGTAAAGAGCTGGCAAATGGAACATGATAGCAGTGATTAGTGGAGGAGTCTGCTGGGAGAGTACAAGCAGAGGTCTTCCAGGACTAGGTTTAAGATGAACCTTAATATTTAATGCATGACCTTGATACACACAGTAGAATTAGATTGTGATATCTCTCTCCTGAAACCAATTATATAATATAATTGGGATCTGGATGTGGTTTAGAAAAAGAAAGACAGTGAAGACTAGATTATTAAAAATGTGAGTAAAATTTAATAGTGTAGACCAAAGGATTTAGAAATGACTAAAGAAATTATGTTATGAATTGAGAACAGATACAACTGCAGAGGAGTATCTGGGTATTCTAGCTGATGCCTTGTTGACTGTGAGCCATTTTGTGCAGCTGTGCAAAAGGAAAATGCAAGCCTAAAACTTGTATAGGTAAAGAATTATCACTGATCAAGGCAGTGGGATGGCTTTTGGAGTACTGCATACTGTAGGCCAGTTCTGTTCTCTAGCCATAAGAAGGTTGAGCTCCAGCCTGGTGTACAAAGCGATTACTAGGATGATAAGATGAAAGGACTGCCTGGTGTGTGAAAGATAATTTCTGCAAGTTCAGCTTAATCATCCTAGTAAAATGAATGTGGAAAAAAAAATGCTCATGTCTTCAGTCTATGCTGGGGACGAACAGCGGGGAGGAAGAAGAACAGTTATTTAAAACACATTTAAGTACAAGAACAAACAGGTGTAAACTCACCTTGAATAATAATAGAATAATGGAGTAGTTTCAGTTGGAAGGGACCTTAAAGACCATTTCATTCCAACCCCCCTGCCATGGACAGGGACACCTTACACTAGATTGTCTTGCTCAGAGTGCCATCTGACCCTGGAGACCACCAGGGTTGGGGCATACACAACTTCTCTGAGCAACCTGTACCTGTGCCTCACCACCCTCACAGTAAAAAATTTCTTCCTAATTTCTAATCTAAACATGTTCTTGCAGTTTAAAGCCACTACCCCTTGTCCTGTCACTACATGCCTTTGTAAAAAAGTCTGTCTCTGGCTCTTGTAGGCCCTCTTCAGGTACTGGAAGTTGCTATAAGATCTCCCCAGAGCCTTCTCTTGTCTAGGCTGAGCAATCCCAACTTTCTCAGCCTGTCTTCAGAGGAGAGATACTCCAGCCCTGGGATTTTTGTGGTCCTTCTTTGGTCCTTCTCTGCTGCAACAGTCCAGATCCATATCTTGGGAACCCCAGAGTTGGATGGAGGACTCCAGGTGGGGTCTCAAGAGAGCAGAGCAGAGGAGGGAAATCACTTCCCTCAGCCTGTTCACCACACTTGTGATGCAGTCCAGGAAACTGTTGGCTTTCTGGACTGCAAGCCACATTGCCAGATCATGCCAAGATTTTCATCTACCAACATCCCCAAGTCCTCCTTCTAAAGACCGCTCTCAATCCATTCTCTGGAAAGAAGCCATTCTCCCTAGACTTCCTGTTATCACTAACATACCTATAGAAGCTTTTCTTGTTGCCCTTGACATCCCTCAATGAGTTTAATTCTGTCAGGACTGTAGCTTTCCTAAACAGATCCCTGACTGTTCAAACAATCCCTGTACTCCTCCTAGGCTACCAGTCTGTGTTTTTAGGCTTCCTCTAGGCTCTCTAGGCTTTCTCTAGGCTTCCTCTAGGCTTCCTTTGTGTGTTTGAATTTGTTCAGGAGCTACTTGTTCATCCACACAGGCCTTCTGGCAGGTTTGCCCAAATTCCTCTTTGTTGAAATGCAGTGTTCCTGAATTTGGAGGGCAAAACTCATATAATTATGTCCCTACTGGATGGAGTGGATCAAATTATGAATGGGATTATGAAAAGCAATTCCCTGTGTTAGTAGTAGATGAGGACCTGCTTGGGTCCTCCCAAATGTGGGTGTGTGTTTTAATTCCATTACACAACAAGCAAAGATTTGGCCAGTGCCAGTAACCAAAAATGGACTCTACTTCTGTTACTCATTCCTACTGTAGACAACATAGATGGCTGCACACCTAAGACAGTCTCCCCACTAAGTATTGCTTTCTAGACAAATTGGTATGAGTTACCTTTAATGTCCCATGTGGCTCTTCAACCAGCCCAGCAGCTCTCTCAGCAAGTAGTTTGAAAATGGATGTGCTGGTAAGACATGAAATCTTCTTCCTACTAAAAAAGAGCCATCAGAGGGAATTTTGGTTAGAACAAAGGAGCAATTCTGACTGGTCACTGCAGCGTGACTTTGCTTAAGATGCCAAGGAGCAGCAGTGTGGAAAACTGTACCTGTGTCATTTTAACACAGTGGAAATGTGTAATGAATAACTGGTAATTGTAGCATGTGGTTAATTGCTTTAGCCTCTGCAGTGTGCCAGCTAGAACCATGAAAACAAAAAAAAAAAATGCAGAGGAATCAAAGAGAAGGACAAACATCATAAAGCTTGAAGAATAAGGACTATGGTGATGACATCTTTATGGAGAATAGAAATAGATGTAAACCACTGTTTTATTTACCATAACCACAGGGTTCCTTAAAGGAGGTTCTTAAACAACAAGAAGAAGAGAAGAAGAGTCTCCAGAATCAGCTAAAGGACTATGAACTTAGGCTGGAACAAGAAGCAAAGGTTTGTCATCACTCTATCCCTCTAGACTGCAAAAGCTGTTATGTTGTGTGGCAAACAGATTGTGTGTGGAACACATAATAGAATAGTTCCAAAAAAATGTGTCACTGGAAAAAGGCTCTGCTGTATATCTGAATCTTCTGTATTATTCAGGTTTTAAAATTTGTGCTTAATGATAGCCTATATCTCATTTTAACTATAGGCTTACCACAAAGTTAGTGATGAGCGGCGCTTGTACCTCTCAGAGATCTTACAGGTAAGAAACATGCGTGACTCAGTAACTTTTAATGCTTTCTTAATATAACAACAATGTCTGTAATGCCATTAGATCAGGGTGTTTTATTACTTCATTTGTATACCAAATATCTTACAAAAGCTGATTTTGAAAAATTTTATTGATGCAAATTATGTAATACATGAAATTTTATACTGCAAACTGGAGAAACCTGTAAAGAAATATGTAAAGATTTATAGTACTTCTTATTCAAGAAAAGCTCTAAATTCCTAAATAATGTGAAAGTAATAGCTTAGTGTGATATTCAAGAATTGCTGCCACTGAGTCACTTTCATAGCTAAGTGGGGTAAAAGCCTGTAATTAGCATGTGTTTGCACAGTGGGCAACTGATTCTCTCACATGGTTCATTGCTACTTTGGGAAATCTAAAAGAATTGCTTAAATGAACTTTCCAGCATGAAACCAAGAAAAAGCCTGGGAAATGCTCATGATAACTGTTAGTATTTTTACATTAGCAGTGAAACTGAGAACTTCTGGAGGAAGAAAGGAAATAAAAGCAGATTTTATTACTGAACATGCTAGCAAGAGTGCCTATGTTCAGCTCCCTATAAAAACATTTAAATATGTGTAAGATATCATTTGAAGTGAGGTATATGCACTGGCATGTTGCATAGTGAGGCCCTGGGGTCTAGGATTTTGCCATCAACACTTGAGGCAGTTAGTGCATTATATTTTCAGCAATTAATTATTTCCTGTCATGATTTCAGTATCATATGAGAGCAAAATAGTCATCCTCAGATTAATATTCCTATCTTTAGTTCTCTAACATCAAATGGCCATTGTAAAGTAGTTCTAGCGGAATCATCTGTAATCTATGAAGAAAGAATCATGTGCAAAGTATCACATCTGTTTTAGGTCAAGATGAAATTTCCCTGGGGACTTTTCTGTCCCTCCTCCTGAACTCTAAGCAGAGTGTAAGTAAGTAGTTTAGATTAAACATCTACTTTGTACATTACTGATCTCATCAGGGCAGTCATCCCCGCATCCCAGCTGCTGTGTGCAGTTTTGAGCACCTCAGTCTGAGAAGGCCATCCAACTGCGTGAGTGTGTCCCAGGGAGGGTGTGCAGTGTGGTCTGCCCTCAAGGGCAAGATTTCTGAGAAGCAGCTGAGGTCACTTGGTTGGTTCAGCTGGGATGAGAGAAGGCTGAGGGGTGACAACATTGCTGAGCAGTGACCTCACCCCACACTACACCTTCCTCCGGGGGGGCAGAGGAGGGGAAGGTGCTGATCTGCTCTCCGTGGTAGCATGTGTGATAGCACATGAGGAAAGGGAATGAAGCTGCATCAGGGGAAGTGCAGACTGAATGTTAAGAAAAGGGTCTTCATTGAAAGGGTGGTCAGTCACTGGATCATGATCCCCAGGGAATTGGTCATAGCACTAAGACTTCAAGGAGCAACTGGATAACACTTTAATTTTAGGTAGTCCTGCAAGGAGCAGGAAGCTGGAATTGATGATCTTTATGAGTCCCTTCCAGCTTGAGATATTCTATGATTCTGTGGTTTAATGTTGATTTCAAAAGGATCAGTGATTTATCTGTTCCCTTCAGGTCTTTTTCTACCATGAATTTGATTTGACTTTTATATTATTTTAAAATCTGTATATGTTAAAATCTGCGTTCTCTTTTAACAGTTCCCTTTAACAGTAGAGGCAGAAGCAGACGTACATTCAATACAGACTTTTTCAACTGTAGTAAAATATCAGTATTCTAGAGTCTGCACAGTAATATTGGCTGCTGTTGAATTAGAAGGATTTACCTGTAGGCTAACAATTTCCTTGCACAGTAAATATACCACAGGGTATTGCTGTCCTGTGACAATAGTGTATCCTAGTGACACACTCTTATTTACAGAGAATAGATATAGTGCTCTTTTAAGCCTTTATCGCATTATATTTGTATTTTTTTTTTTTTTTATAGCTGACAGTAAGAAAAAAAATATCATAAAATATGAGTTTTTTACTGGTAGGTATTAAAAAATACCAGGAGGAGAAAAACCAGCAAGTTTTTCCTGCTGTGTTTTGGATCCCTCCTGAAGCCTGCGGCAGAAGCAGAAGACAAAGATGTTTCTGAGAGGCCATTTCTTTTATTTACCTTTTTATTACTGAGTGCTTTTCTGGGTTTTTCCTTATTTATTTACAAATTATATTTATCTTCTGAGTCCTTTTGATGTTTGTCTTATCTGATCCATAAGGATGCAGTCAGTTTTAAATGATAGTTTTAAAATAAATGAAAAATTCAACAATCTTGAGAGCTCATGCTAGAGGCACCAATGGATTCTGGTGTATTCTTGTTTGCTTTTTTTGTTTTGTTTTCAGTCTGGCAAAGCATTGGTTTAGGATTTGGAGTCCAGGAATCTTAAAGACACTCTCTGATGGTGTTCAGAAATCAGTTTGAGAGGCAAGCTAAGAAGAACTATAGCAGTTATTTAAAAAGGCCATACATTCAGGCCAGAATTTTGCCACAAACTTTTGCTAGCAGAGTGGCATCTGACTTGCGACTGGGATTCCTTTGCAGAAAAGGCACAGGGTTATAGATTGCTACAGCTGGAAATGGCTTTTTTTATTTGGGATAGGCCTGGAGTAAACTCTATTAGCAAAAACAGTGCTATGGATAATAACCATATATACTGGCGTTCTATATTAATATAAATTCCAAAAACAGTGAAGGCAACCTTGGCACTGCTCTTTCCTCATATGTCCCAGAATCATATCTCAGATATGATAAGGTGATAAATTATACTAGCCGTCATCTTTAATACTGGAGTTCCTCAATTACAAAAATTTCTTACCTTCAGTAAGGTAAATTCGTGCAAATCCTATTTACTTCTGTAACTGTGATTTGTGTTAGGATTTAACTTGTTTTGTAAAAATTTGGCTATTGCAGACCTCAGCTAAACCTACAATTTTTGAAAGGAAAAAAACAGATGCTCTGACTGGCAAGGGAGAAAAACAGATACTGAGGTAAATTAGCTTTATATTCCTGTTTTCTGGTTAATTAATTTTTGCTAAGCACTGTTTTGAACAATGCAACTTTCTGTTCATGATAAATATCACAGCATAAGCCCACTGACAAAGTATTACTCAACATAATTTTTGATATTGCTTTTCATCAGTTTTATTTAATGCAAATGTTGAAAATACATATGTTTAAATCATTGTTTAACAGACTTCTGTTTAGTTATATGGGTTAGAAATATAAATTTGAAAAAAGTCCACCTGCTCTGAGATACATAGAAGTAAAATTAATTTCTGATTGCAATACTTGTGGATAAGCTTGAAATTTGATGAGATTTATTTTTTAACTGAATTGAATATGTTAAGAACATAAAGTGTGAAGAATATAGGGAGCATACATAAAAAGTTTGTTGGACCCAGTCACCTGCCTCCAGTGGCCATAAACAGATGCTTACAAAAGTGTGGAAGCAAGCAGATATAATACTTAATTTTGAAACTCTCCCAAATAATTTATATTTGGAAAGTTTCTAAGATAGTATGGTTTCTATGTATTTAGTGTCTCACAGTGAATACTCTTCCACAAAGCCACTTAACCAAAATTATTAATATGTGCATGCACAATATATATTGTAATCATCTGAAAATGTAATGAGTGAATTATAAACATGATATTGTGTAGACCTATTTGCTTACCAGGCTTTTCCTTTCATTCTGTTCTAAGCACAGAATCACAGGATTTCATAAACTGGAATAGTGAAGCTTCATGTTCCAGGAGAGTATATTAGTAGAATATGAAATAATGCAGTACAATATTAATTCAGTTCTATAACTGAAGTTTATCAATACATAAAAAGCACTGTGTGGGTTTGAAGTGCCCCATATGCCACTGTATCACTTTTGACCCCAGTGATATTTAACATGGTTCCTATGGAGAAGGTAGAAAGCTAGAGCCAGGAGGATTCACTGCCCCTGCAGCGAGATTAAATATCATCAGCCAGATATGGAGGTTTGCTGAGGGTTACCACTGATGTGTGATTATGGTGGGGTTTTTTACAATCTATTTTAGTAGACCATTACTTACCCTGCAATTATATGACAGTGTGTTTCTGTAATTTTCTATATATCAAACAAAAGAAAATAAAGTGTCCTGTAACTGCTGGTCTCAGAAGATATGTGGTATAACAAAATATCCCGTCTCAATAAATTTTCCCTAAGAGGACTTTTTTTTTTTTACTTTTCAATGTTCTTTAAACACATGAAGATAATTTTTCATCTTTTAAATTGTCCTTAGTATACAAGAACCTAGTTTTCAGATTATTACTTTTATAGTTAGTGACCTAGAACTTTCAGGACAAACTTTGATCTTTGCTGGCAACATGGATCTAAGAGTGGGGATTTGGCATAATTTGTGTTTTAAGAAAATACTAGAATATAAGTATGCACCTCATGAACATCACAAGGTAAATACAGCCATTGTTATATTATTCCTTTTAAATTATGTTTTGATTTATAGCCTGGGGGTTGTTTGTTCAAGCTGACATTAATAAGAAATAATTTCATTAAAATAAGAGAAGACATGCATGTTCTTGAGAGTAATTTGAAAATTTTCTGTCTAGAGTTCTTATCTCACCTTTGTTGCCCTTTTACAAAATACCTGCATTGGAATTCAAACCATACTGAGAAACTGCTTAATGCTTGCTTTAATTACAGGAACATGTACAGAAAGCCCAACTTGTGTATTAAATGAACACTAAAAACATTTTTGGGTAGTAGTTGTGAACACTAATGTGGATTCTTTCCTTTTTTTTTTTTTTTTTCTGCTGAAGTTGGGATTAAGCGTGTGAGATGGTATAGAGATCAGTGCCTGTTGGCACAGAGAGTCTAAAATTCTCAGTAACCAGAGTTCCAGCAACTAATTGTTGATGCATTCAGTTTCCTGGCCATCCAAAACAGAAGCAAGTTCAGCAGAGGTCCTTTTTGTGATTATTACAGGACAAGAAGATAGGCTAGCTGACAGGTGGGAAGAACATGGATGTCTTGACAGCTCATTTCTCTGATGCAATTTGAGCAGTCAATTTATTGTCATTCTGACCCCTGCTGTTACACTGAGACTTATGGTGGGACTTATTAGCTCAGTTTCAACACTGCACTGCTGCAGTTAGCTAGCTTCTAAGTCTGTAAGTCTAGCTGGTTTTGAGGGGAAGAGGCTTTGTTGCCTGCAGAATTCCACACAGGCATTTTCTGCTTTGTTCAGCTGTACAGTGATCTACAGTTTAACCAATTGATTTTAAGTAATCAACTGATTTGAATTTTAATAATTGATTATCAAATACACTGGGGCCTTGGATTGTGATCTTCCAACTCTGAGTGGAAGTACCTCCATATCTGTATGGGGACAGTTCTCCCTCCAAGACCAAGACTGCTTGTAAGAGCTGGAACAAATGTGTCAATCCCAAAAAGACTAGTGAGCCCTAGGTTTGTCTTTGTTGCCTCTTTCCCCACAAATTTGAAACTTGCACAGATACCATCATCGTAGTTTCTATCACATATCTGGGTATCATGACAAATATAACAGTGTGATGTTGTGATATATTTTCCAAAGGCATCCTATATAATGCCTTTGCTTGAGAAAGACACTGAAGCTCTGTATATTGTTGTAGAGTATGTAAAGTGCTGTCTTTCCTCTGCAGTAATGAACAGGAAGAGAAACAAAGGGACATTGCATAGGAGCAGAGAGGCAGGCTTGGTCAGGAGAATGATCCTTCCAGCTTGCCAGAAGTGCCATTCTTTTCCTGGAGATTTCTTTACATTCCCACAGATTTCTTAGAAGATCAAGATGAAGCTCTAGCTGGTTTCATGTAGATGGTGTATGTATCCATGATGAGTACCACTTCAAAAGCCTGCTGGCAGCATCTCCTGCAGGCATTTCTGGTGATCATGGATTCAAGAGCCTGGCTTTCCAGAGTGGAATACCTGCAGAGAGCTGCAACTACATCTACATGAAGTGTTTTCCCCTTTTCTGGTGGGAATTCTTTAACTGATGAAAATGTCTTTGTAGCTAGTTATCACTCTCCTAGTGCCAATATTTAGTATTCTGTTCATGTTCTCCAAATGACATCACTTAGGTAACAGGAATCATGAGATGAAGATTGAGTTTGCAGAATAATTAGATGCTCAGCTAACCTGCGAACCTAGAAATGTACTGCTTTTTTTCCTTTCTTGGGTTTATTAATTCACAGTAGTAATCAGATTATGCAAATATAGAAAGCATGCACATTTTCAGCAGTTAAAACTTACAGGCAATGTGACATTTGCTGACTAACTTCACCCGTTTTATTTCAGAGGAAGACACAGTGTTCCAGGAAACCTGAAGATGGTTAATCCTCAAAAACGATCAATTAAAAAGACTGTAGGAGTGAACCACCTTCCACAGCTAAAGCACTGATTTAATAATAATGCCAAGAACTTCCAGTCACTTTTTAAAAAATTTAATTTGACTGAAAGTTTCTAAATTGAAAATGAAAGTATTTGTGTCTTATTGCAATGCCAGATCCAGATTGGAATGTCTTCTTGGTTGCCTTAGTGTAAGTGTTCCTCTGTCTAATGGAATTGCTCTTCTAGTTGCCATCTTTGTACTGGTGACTTCTGACCCTTTCCATTCTACTTCACATCGGTGATTTTGAGTGTGAGGGTGTTCGAAAACTTGGAGAATATTTAATGTCTTATACACTGTGTAGATCCTTGAATTATGGAAAACAAACAAGCCTTTAGCATTTTTGGCCTCTCAATCCAAGAAGAAGAAGGCAGACTGATGTAACCTGAAGTATTGTCTAAATATAACCTTTTTTAAAAGCTGGCTTGCCACAGCTCCCATGTTGACTACCACTTTCTGTCTGCATGGTTTAGAAGCACAGCACCATTTCCAGCTGCTTTAGGCAGTGCTAATGGATAGAAATGACAGAAAAACTGAGCACTTCTTTTTACGGAATCTTCAGAGCCTATCTTGTGGAATGTTGTTTCTTTTAAACACTATATATGTTCTATAAAGAAACACATATCCTCATATTAGTATGTTGCTCTTTGAAATTTGAATTCTCTGATGAACCCTTGTATCCACAGTCTTGAGGTTATAAAAATCTCTGTCTTCTTCAATGGCATTGATCCTTGTACTTTTAGAGTCCAAAGTAGTGCCAGTTCTAAAAGTCATCTCTTCAGTGAAAGTAGAACTACTTTGTCTCTTCATTCTTAAGCATGCAATTAATGTTGCAGTTTTATTACCTACAGTTTAGTCATTAAATTTGGCAAAATTTTTTCAAGTGGCAACAGGAAAAATGTTTTCATAATGAAGCTTCAGTCCTCTGGGTTACATCTTAAAAGCTCTTGGCAGAGCAAATGTGGCTGCTGACTGCCCTTTATTATTTTAAGAGCATTTCTAACTCTGCAATAAAGTTTTTTCCCCTCTTTAAGAGCACTACTAATAGTTCCTTATTATTGGCAGCATTAAAGTGACACTGTAATTAAGCTTACAGCAAAAGACAAACCAATGGTGTCATTCTAAAATGCAGAGAGCAAAGGCTTCCAGCATGGTACAGCATATTCAGTACAGAAATCCCTTTTTTTTTTTTCTCTTACATAGTATTAAATTCATTACAGATATTTTTCATGTTACCATGATGTACATGATATCATTCTTTCATAATTATGCAGGGTGATCTGCCTGGCTGTTTTTTTTCCTCACAGCATAGCACAGCTGGTTAGGTTAGAACTCTTCTGTTTGTGTTTTTCACATTAAAAATTTCCAAATGTTCATTGTGCTGGCATTTGTGGTGAAGGAGAGGAGAAAAATCACCATAATGGCTCTATTGGCATAAAAGACAAGGGACATCTGCAGTAGTATAGAAGATCCAGTTCTTGGATTCATGCAGCAAACATTTCCTACTGCTGTCTCTTAATCAAATGTTAGTGCACTCAAGTCTGGTCTGTGTAGCACCTCAGAATAACTGGAAAAAATGCACAAATATGACAGAACATTTTTTCACAACAAGATACTTGATGCTTCCCTCAAGGATATTCCTCACTGAGGACTTGAAAAGAAACTTTTTTTGAAGCCTTAAAAGAGGTATTTATTGGTACAGGAATGACCTGGGAGACAAGCAGACTATGTCCTATTTAGTCCCCGTTTCACCTTGCCAAGAGCAATTTGATTTGATTTGGGACTCAAAATGCAGTAGTATGACAATTAATTGCTAAAATGTGCTGTTTGACCATTCTAATTGTATGTCCAGCTGTAATCTTTGTTATGAAAAATGGTTATAGTTCAGTACTTATACTCTTTTAATTGGCATTTCATTTTCTTCCTGGCTTTCTGAAAATAAGGACAAACCTGATAGCTAAATTTGACAATGCCAATTTCTTTGCAACAGGAAAAAGAGAGTTTTTGGTTTCAAAAGTGGAGGTCTCTTTGGATCTAAATAAAATTTTTACACTTCTAGCTTTCCCAAAACATGTAGGAATTTTTTGTTTCATTTGGTGGGGTTAGGTGAATGAGTGTTTTGAAATTCCTGGATTTATCTTGTGTGGGCTTTTCTTACTGTTTTGTTGTCCTGTGAAATGTGGGGGTTTTTTTTGACATTTGGACATTTGGAGCAGTGAACAGTTAGATGGCTTTATGTAATCTCTTCAATATGAATATTTCAACACATTTAGGATTAATTAATCCTTCAAATACTTCACAGTATGCAGTATTATTTTAGGTCTAGAAGACAGAATCAGGTTTATTTAAAGCAGATATGGGAGTGTAGTGATGTCTGGTTTTCCCCTGATTTCACAATAGGATGATCTTTTGTAATGCTGCCAACAATTTCAAGATAAAGTTGGCCTCCTCTTAAGTTTCTGTACATCATACATGACACTGAAGGAATCTGAAACCAAAAATGGGAAACTGAATTGCTGACAGTTGTGGGCAGTGATTGAATGGAACTAAGTATCAGAGGAAGACAGGATCAGAGGTGAAGGTTTGAGTCTGGCCAAACTTCTTCCTTCAGTGTAGAATATACTTGAGATTCCAGATATACTGATTGGAGTGTGTAAGTGGCTTTAATTGATGGATTGGGAAATTTGATATCCTAACTTGGCGCTTGAGAGTGTGCTGCCTTTACATGGTTACTCTTGTAGTTCCATTAATTTCAGATGAGTCATGATTTTGAGGTAACTAAGGCATTTTAAGTATTTACCCATAGTGTTTCTGGAAAATATAAATTTAAAATCTCAAATGCTGGTAAGCACACTTGTCTTATTTCAAAAAAAAAACCCTTTCTTTTTTTTTGTTTTAGAGTCTGTTTTAGATTAAAGATGGTATTGAGTCATGGTAGTTGTTTTTAATATCCATTTAGCAGCAGTGTACTCTTCTATGATGGAGTAAAATGAAAATGTTTATTGGGCAGGCATTGACTCTGTTGCTGGTTATTATGTAATTATGCAGCATAACCACAGGCTGCAGAGAACTGGGGTGATAGGCTTCCTCATGTTCAGGATATCATTAATAATAAGCAAGATATTTTGTTGCTTAAATACTTTGTTTAATGGGTTCTCTGTATTTAAACTGACTAGGTGGTACAGATGACAGTTTCCCTGATTCCTATGATATTCTATCTCTACTGGTAAAGATGAAGTGTATAATTCAGGCTTAATACATTTCCAGTAGAGGAGGATGCTGTGCAGGCCTTTTTACAAATGTGATGCAGACACAGTAGCAAGCAAATAAATAAATAAGGAAGTGAACTTCTGTGTTATTAAGCTTCTGCTGTTTTTGCCAGACTGGTCTCAAACATGACATGTACTTTGAACTAACTCAAGTTGGAAGCAGATACAATGTGCATGGACTAAAATTATAGCTAATTGCTACAGTTTTATCATTTTACACACAGGTGTCACACTAATGGCAGACAGGTCTTGACTGGATAATGAGGCTTTTCAAAGGTGGCAGTACCTTATTTACTTGGCAGATGAGTTTAACCCTCTCTTCCAGAAATACAAACATTGGATTTAGTTCCTTATAGGTTACATCTTAGAATCCAGTTTTCCTGCACTTCACTAATCTGTGCCCTAAACTGCCAGCTAAGAACCATGTAGAGATCAAATGAGTCTCTCATGTCTACAGGAGTAGCATGCAGGTAGGGCCAGGCTTTGCCTGTGGTTCTGGGAGCAACTCAATGCACCACCCCACAGAAGGGGCTCTCACAGGCTCCATTTCTAGGCTGCTAAAGTTCTTATGCTCTGGTTCCTGTGTAACTTCTCAGCCCTCCCTTTGTTGCCTGGGAGAAGATGAATTCTGCTTCAGGATCTCATCTGTAATTTGGGGAGAACAGTATGTTTCTGGTGCTGAGAAGTGACACAAAGATACATACACTGGTGCTGGAGGGAAGCCAGCTGGTAAAACCACAATGAATCGGAGTTAGTCTGACCTAAAACAAATGGGTTTTCTTCTGTCTTACAACGAAGATAGATAATATTGGTGCTCTGTTGGTGCAGAAACAGCTGTGGCTGCTACATCTTACTGAAGAGATTTACCAGTAAAGACTGGTGTCAGGGTATTTCCTGACGAACACAACCTAATGTGACACAGCAGTGACACCAGTTGCTGTGCATGTCTTGTCACAGGGAAAAATGTCAGCTCTGTAAAGAGAAGGATCCCATGTGAGGTCCAGGACAGGCCTGACTCCCACACCACCCTACAACAGGCACTTCCCCCTGCATCTGTCTGATCCCTCCACACAATGAGCAAGTGTCCCGTGTGGAATCTGCTCAGGAATGGTGTGGTGTAACAGAGCAATGCAGACTGGGGACCAGAAATATTGGGCACAGCTGAAGGGTTATTTTGGGGGAAGGATGAAACAACAAAGCTGTGCACTCTTGACTCATCCTATGCTGATTAGGAATAGGATACTGAGAAAGCTTTTAAAAAGATGAAAAGAAGGAAAACTAGCATGGGAATCATCTGTCCCTGTTTGCAGCTTAAAAGTCGTATCTCTAAGTCTGAGCTAATCACTGTATACTCAATGAGTAGTCAATGGGAAAAAAAAAAAAAAAGCAACCCAAAACAGACACCTTCAGAGTTCACCTCCTCTCATTCTAACAGAGATGCTTAAAATGGATCAGGTGACACATCAACAGGATTCTCTTTCTGGAAAGAGAATATAGGATGACAAATTCAGAATAAACTGTCCAGCATGTAGGAAGGTAAGCTGAACCCTGTTCTTGTAAATTTTTTTATTTTTCTTGCTCTGGCTAGGGACGGTGACACCCCAGATCAGTAGAGGATCTCAGCCAAGAAGTAATACTGAGCTGCAATTTGACTCTCCTTTGGACTGATCTTTTTGTCTCACAGCAGCCCAGCACTCAACAGAGGACCTGTTCTTTAGGCATTGAATTTACAAGGCCTACAGA